GGTAAAGTTTAGAGAAGAAGAAGAATGGTGCCATTCACCGAGGCACATCGCTGCCCGATCTGCCAGCAGCTCGGGCAGCGATGTGCCTCGGTGGCAAGATGGGGAAGCGAGGGGTGTGATTGGGCGGTGGTGACGTTGGGGGGACGATTGAATACACGTGTGAGAGAGAGGTGGGCCGAGAAATAACGAAATTTGTTGAATTGTTGCCGTCCTTGGTCCTGTGGCTGTATGCCGCATTGCTGCCTTTCAAATGCTCCGGCCGGATGTACTTGTACTGCGAAAGGGGAACGCTGTACAAATGTATGCTGTATGCACTGCTCCGTTTTGTGTTCGGCATGTGAGTTTTGAGAGGCCGCTTCATGAGAAATCTGTTTTCTGGGGGTCATTTGCACCGTGCCGATGGTGTTTTCCACCGTGACAAATTGGCCACGGTAGAAATAACTGGTCCTCAAAGTCACGGCTAGCAGTAATATTTTCGAAGATTTGAAGATTGGGAACAGCAATGCGCAACACACTTTCGATATGACAGAAACTACTGCCGACAGCGACGACACATGTACAACGAAATTTAAAACGTGAAAATAGGGTTTTGATGCTAAACGTCCGGAAAATCTTACCAACAGCCGTGTTCACCGTGGTCGAGATCGTCACGGTGAAAACCGCATTTTGACCACCGTGAAAAGGACCCGAAAATATGAATTCTCATGAAGCGGCCTCTTTGAGTTTTGCGTCGTGCATGCGTAACTTTAAAGTCACGCCGCCTTTCGTCATCCTCCGCTCTCCGCCTCGCCTTCCCGCACCGCCCCTCAGCACCCCTCACCGCCTTCCGGCCCTCGCGTCTCCCGCGACTGCCCGCCGCCTTACACTGTCATGCCCCACATCTGTTGCCTCGTTGCCGTAGGAGGGCGGGACGCGAGCGCTGCGCCGCCCGCACGCGCCGCCCGCACGCGCCGCCCGGCACGCGCCGCCCAACTGCTGCCGGCCGGTCGCAGCCAGCGCGCTGCGCACTAAAAGTCGCAGTCAAAGGGTCGGTATGCTGTGCAGCTTGAGAGGATGGATAAGGTGAGCATTCCGCATTCCGGAGCATTTTGTTAGAAGGAGAGGGAGAATAGGGAAAGGAGGGAAGCAACGCACTCGTTAGTGCGAGAAAGGACGGCTCGATCCTTTCATCCTTTCATCCTTGCATTGGTTCATAACGGTTGGAGAACGCCAAGTGGCGGAAACGGTACTACTCAATTTAGTGTTCCCGCCTGTGCGAGCTGGTTGTTTGTGCTGTCACAGTTGAGCAGTCAAAGGGTCGAGATACCACGGAGCCCAACCCCGCAGACTCGAACCTCATGTACGGTGCCCGCGCTTACAACACCCTGCAATCTCCTCTCTTCCCCTCTCTTCCCCACCCGTACTTGGTCCCCATTCAATCTCCCCCAAATCACTGTCTCGCCACGCCCTCTCTCTCTCTCTCTCTCTCTCTCTCTCTCTCTCAACGCGCCCCCACCGACGCCAAGTAGCAAAACCTCCTTATATCCAATAAACTCTCAACGCGCTCATGAGCGTCATGTACACAATATTACACCTATAAACTATAGAAAGCAGCACTGCCGCAGCTCCGGTACGCTCGCAACTCCGATGAAAAAACATTGCACCCTTGTCAGAAAATAACGGTCTTTTACTTAATCTTCGGCATCACACTGCATAGCATTAAGACAACGAGTAAATGACTCACGCATACCGCAACGCCGGGAAACCCCGACGAATAAAACCACGCAGACTCCACAACGCTCTGTTATTGAAGGACGCGGCGTCATCCATTTCCAAAGAACACACCACTTCTACGTCCGCTTTTTCAAAGTGCCACGATTTGTGCCAGGAGCAATGCGCAACGGCTGCATCTGTTGCAGAAGACGCAGCTTACCAAGCAACTGTTGCATCAAACTACCTGCGTCCCAAGCCTTCTTATCGCGACCCACAGAGGTACCCGGCCTTCTTAGGCACATGCTCTTTCGGCATAAGCCGACCTTGCCGCTTCGTCTTGTCTGACGCGATCCGTCCTCTTCCCAAAGCTTGCCGAAAGCTGCCCCCATGCCTGTCTTGCTTGCCGAAAAATATGCCTTTTAGACAGAGCGCATGGTGTCGCACGATGGCAAGGAGGTTCTTTATGTCTTGATACCAACTCTTGGTTCGCTCAATATAAACAGATTACAATACAGTTCTTACCCTTCCTTTTTGCATCTGTCTACCCATACAATGCGTTGGACCCGAATGCATGGATGTCATTGCTTTAAAGAATACCAGGGCCGCAAATCATAAATGGCGAGGGAGAAGATGAGGGGCGAGATCGTGATATAGATAACGGACACGACAATTACCGATAGGTATACTCTATTATCCATCGCCCTTCAGAGGCAGTTTTGCGACACAGAAAACGTCCCCGGCCGAACAGAATTATTGGACGAGACGATTTCGAACGCTAGCGTCGAAACGGGCAGAGCTATGACTTGTTCTCGATCATCACGGTTTTCATCCCTGCTCACTTACAACTCATTTAATACCAGTAGTGTTGCAGTGGTTAAGTGATTATACCACGCTGCGGTTGGAGAGAAGTAAAGAAGGGCAAACACAAAGGTTGTCCGTGGGTGGAGATGCTCTTAGAGTAGTGGTACCCTTGGGGTACAGTAGTCCCCCCTTTAGAGTGGTACACCGGGGACGGTATTTAGTGTCAGCGCTAAATTAGTGTCACCACGTAAATAGTGTCACTGACACTAATACATGTCAGAGCCCGGGACGACGACGGATCAATCCAGACATAGAACAATCCTTCCTTTGAGCCGGACCCATCTCACTGCCGGTCCGGAGGGATGGTATTGGTATGCGATTCGTTCGGTTCGTTTCGGGAGCACTAATTTGTGCGCGGGAGTGGAGATACGCAGGCATTCATTACTGAAAAGCGTTTTGTACTAAGAACAGGTCAACTGGTCGGTCTTTGGTCTGGTGTATAGGAAAAGGTTGGGCGATGCAGAGTTGTAACAAGAGCCATCTGCGATAAGGAAAGAGGAGGGGGGGCCAGCGTCAGGACTTATGATTAGAGGCAGGCATGTGAGGTTTTGGTAGGACGAAAAGAAATGCTGTAGGCTCTAATGGGATCGAACTTACACTATTCATTGTTACGTTTGACAATATCAGTGACAGTAATGCCGTTTTCACTGAAATAGTGTAAGTACGGAAATAGTATCACTGACATTAATATATGTTTAGGGGTCGATATTTCCATAACGGAAATGGTATCAGTGACACTAAATACCGTCCCTGCGTGTACACTGTAGTGAAGGGACACGTGGACACGTGGAGTATGATATGGGTACACGTGGCGGAATGGACTGTCAGGACTTCGACAGGACTCCATAGAGCTTACACCCGGACAGGGCCGGAGGTCGGTGTACACGGCTACACGTGGGTTACACGTGGGGAATCCACGTGTGCACCGCGATTGGGCGTGGCCGGTCAGTGCTCTACAGTCACACTGGAGGTCGGGAGGCTGCGGCCACGGTATGAGAAAGGTCATACCTTCGTGAGGGATGTCTGGCCGGAGCGGGAATGGGTGTCTGGTAATGAAGACAGAAAAGGGAACGAGGCGGAACGAGAAGACGCGAGAAGACGCGAGAAGACGCGAGAAGACGCGAGAAGACGCGGAAAAGGGAAAGGCGAAAGTAGCCTTTTCACTTCTACTGATGTCCCTCTTGTCCCTGCGTCCGGCTACAGGACGGCGGGGCGGCGCGAAATACAAAGCGGGGAGCGGGCGGCGTCGGGGGTCTTGCAATCGACAGCGAGGTAGAGTGCACGTTTATCTCTGACTGTAACAAAAGCGACACCCGCATCGACAAGGGATACACTACCAGCAGGGGGCGAGATGGAGAATGGACATACTCTCGGCACAGTTTAGAAGGTGAGAGGCGTGAGTTTAAGCGAGGCGCATTGATGCCAGTGCTGCAGATGTATCGTTTGGACGCTCGACAGCGGCGCCGCGGGTGTCGAAGGCGCAGGGGATGCACGGGTGCTGCGTCGGGGCTCGCTGATGATCCACCGACGCACCACGGTCGCCTCGCGGGCTGACCACCAGCTCGCCAAAGCGGGTGACGTCGCCGAAAGGTGGTGGCGGGCGTCAGTGCGTCGCCCTGCGTGACTCGAGACGCACGGTTGCAACGGGTACGCGGGAATATACTTTGAGTGGGGGGGGGGGGGAGGGGGAGGGGGGGTCCGCGCCGAGGTGGTGAGGAAGAAGTAGCGACGAAAAGTTGGCGCGGAAGAAGTGGCGGGGAAACGATGGCGGACGGCAGGTGGGCAGCGCGGCTGATACACGTTGTCTGGGCGATCCCCCAGCGGCGACGCACTGTCTGAAGTCGCCAGGCAGACGCGGGGGATTCGGCAGCGGAAACGTTTCGGCAACGTCAGCGCTGGCGGCGTGGCGGCTCGTTGCCGGCCTGTTTCCCGCGGTCGGGCTGGCGGACAGCGCGCCGGGCTGTTACGGGAGGGGGAGCGAACGGGCGGGAGGGGGGAGGTGGGGTGACGCGGGCGAAATGTACTGTAGGCCGTGAGTAACCGCGAATGCGTGCACGCGAGTTCCTGGGCATTGCTGCGGTAGCCTGCGGCTGCTGGCGCGCAATCATGGCGCTCGTCCAACCAACCGCACCGCGTGCCGACCTATTCCAACTCTGTCCATCAAAACTTCGCCACCGTCGGCATATTCGACTGTGAACACTTCCTGTCAACCTCTACCGCTCGTCGGCTCCTGCAACATATCTGCCCGAAGCACGCGCTGATCTTCGCCCCCGTGTGTATAACATCCATTCCGCCATCAACCTCTGCGCCACAACCCCCGCCCAACGCTCCCCCCATCCCCGAAACCTTGCACCCTCCCTTGAAACCCCTCTGACTATGTTTGCGAATTTGCATCGCCAGTGGGACGCGCCGCGGCTCCCCGCGTCCTCGTCGGCGCTGGTCAACAACCGCTACCGGCTGGGCCGGAAGCTTGGCGCGGGCGCGTTTGCGAAAGTGTACGAGGCGCGCGACCTTTCCTCGGGCGACGTCGTCGCCGTCAAGCTGGAGCGCGCGTCCAAGCCGTACCCGTCGCTGGCCACGGAGTATGCCGTGTACGAAAAGCTCGCCCGCGCCCACGCAAACATCCGCGGCGTCCCGACCATGCGCTTCTACGGCGCCCACGGCTCATACAACGCTATCGTGTTGGACTGCTTGGGGCAGAGTCTCGCGACCGTTGTGGACAAGCAAAAGCGCCGCTTCTCGATGAAGAGCGTCCTCATGATCGGCATTCAGACCCTGTACATTTTGGAGGGCCTTCATCATCACGGCTTCTTGCACAGAGATATCAAGCCGGATAACATGATGCCCGGCCGCCTCGACCCGAAACAGATCTACCTTGCAGACTATGGTCTTGCGGGGCAGTACCGCGATCAGTGGAACCGCCACATAGCCCCCATGACAAACGTTGGTACCGTCGGCACGGTCGAGTTTTCGTCGCTCAACTCCATGCATGGCCGCGAGCTCTCGCGAAGGGATGACCTCGAGAGCCTGGGGTACACCATGTGTTTTTTGTTCCGCGGCGATCTCCCATGGACGGGCGTCCGGGCCCACGGCATGCAGGCCCTGCAGCGAAAGGTCACGGAGGCCAAGTCGGGCTGCAGCTTACGCACACTGTGTCGCAACATGCCCCACGAAATGATCGGCTTTTTCCAATACGTCCAGGGCCTCCAATTTGACGAGTGCCCCAACTATGGCTTGCTGCGCCACTTGTTCAGACACGCCCTCGCCGCCGCCGGTCACCGAGAAGATAACATATTCGAAGAGTGGATGTCCTCGTTTTCTGTCTCGGACGTCACCGATGACTCGCCGGCCCACAGCTACGATGAGCCGCGCCATTTTCAGCGCCGCAGTTTGCCAGAGGACGCCCCTCAACCCAAACCCATTGCCCCACCTCAACAACTCACCCGCAAGTTGACGGAAAGGGCCCCTGGCGCCCGGCATACAGAGAGGGATGTTATGCTGTATAGATGGCGTAGAGAGAGATATATGCACAGAACTAGAGCTAGGGCTATGGAGAGGGGTGCAACTAGACCCAGAGGTCGAGATAGAAGTCTGGAATGGGATCCCAGAGCCGGACGCATCCCGCATACCCGCGGGGAGCGGAGGCGCGATATGGAAAGGGGACATCGAGAACGCGAAAGGGACGCGGAAAGAGAAAGGAAATATAAGGCCAGGGATACCAATAGGGAGAGGGAAAAGTCTAGAAGACACACAGAAAGGCATCACGCACGGAAGAGCTATGCCGCGAAGGCAAAGGCTAAAGCTGGCGACAAGATGCGAAGGAAAACTACAACAAAATCACCTAGAAAGCATGCAGAGAGAGACCCGGACTACCCCCATCGGAGACATACGGATGCTGCCAGAGGACCAAGTCCGCGAGCGCAGCGCGACGGTAGGCGCTTTCACAGGCGATGAATAAAGTCTGCTGCAGACGGGCAACGAGCGCACAGTTCTGTACTCTACCCCATGGAAGTATCATGTGTATCAACATGCTGCACTTTCTTCTGTCTACCACTACTACTACTCGTCCACGCATACCCTCACGATTAACTACGGTCTTCTTGCGAAGAAAACCTGCTAACATCAGCTTCCTAGCAACAATTCGAAACTGCAAATACTAAAGAATGCGACGCTAAACTTTTTCATCAATGTAGCGCACGGTATTTTCACGCAGTCATTTTCTCTCCTGTTGCAAGCAGTTTCTCCTCTACTGTAACTTCGCAGTCTGAAAACTCGTGACATGAATGAAAAGGGTGTTAGATCTCGCCAAGCAGATTAGCATAATTGCATGAAAAAAAGGTCGGGAAAGGTGCAGAGCTCAGCAAGCGTTGTGCACCTGTTGTCGGCAGTCGCAGCGTAGGGTTGGCCAATAGTACGTCATTTCAAGGTTGCACGTATTGTGGTAAACAAGAATCCCAAAAGCATGACTTTTGACACGAAGAAACAGTGCGCGGATTAGAGTTCCAACAGGTGTAGAAGATGTGCGGGAACTGGACCCAAAAAGTGTTCTACAGGTCACTACATTTTCACATACAGAAGCCATTCCTGGTACACTGCCACCACTTTAGGAATTTCGGAGAAACCATATGCCTTTTTGTTGTCAGCTTCATTAGATGTCTCGAACGATATTCGAGTGTTCTTCTCGCCTGTAGAAAGCTGCTATATCAAGATACTCTTTTGATGTACCTTCGGAAGGTGCAATCCATCCGGTGTACACTGTACAGTGTATGGCTACAGTATGTGTTTTCTGTACATGGCCATCATGGACCAACTCCCAAGTCTCCATTGTTGCCATGCCGTAGGTTCAATCTACTTGTTGAAAATCGTTCGGGTGTTCGGGCTAAATTGCCGTTGAGCCATCAGCAGCTTTCGTGTTACGCAAAACCAGACTCTCTGAACCATTAGGAACAGAAACATAACGGAATACAGCCGCACAATCCGTGAGGGAAAGCTTCATGGAAGCATTGAGAAACTCTGCAGGGCATTGATTCGAACCCTAAAGTAGAACTTTCAGGTGGTTGTAATATTGTAGGACATTGATGCTCTTGATGCTCTTTCAAAGTGTTTCTTGTTGAAAAAGAAGGGTTGACTCGAAGCAACTGTCTGCAGGCATGTGCACCATTCGAGGGAAGAAGTTGACATGATTTCTTTGTGGCACCTTTCACGATGTTTTAATCAGATAGTTGGTTGTGCCGTTCGAGCAGTATGCCCTCCATGCAGTAGCAGGTTTCTTCTTCGTTCAACAGCAATAGATGTTTCGAACAATGTGTGGTGCTGAAGCTCCTGTTTACAATGACGAATTCATGCATGAAATTGCTTGCGTATGGGGGCAGAAGCATGTTTGCGCGATTAGAGTAATTAACACAGGAGTCTTAAACAACATTTGGGATTGCCCTGGATATTAATACTGCACCATAGAACCGCGTTCAGCTATTTGTTTGCGAACTCGGTTTAACATATACACATGCATTTATGTAGATATCGATACGTAGATCAGTCCTAGAACGAGCTTTGGAGATTTTCGAGATCTCGTTTTCGACGCGTGGATGAGAATTTCCTGTCCCAGAATGTTCTGTCAGCAGTGGCTGTTGGTTCTCTCGAGGCCTTCAGAAACGAAGCAGCATCAAATAAAAATGTCACCAGTGAGAACATGCCCCGCAGACGTAGCATCGGACCTGCCGAATACTGTCACCGTACAGAGGTGGAGGTTTGCATTGATCCATCCGAGACAACATTGTTCCGGAGGTATCGATGCTTAATAAACGTGGTACGTACAGGAACCCTCCACTTGATCCCTTCGTACTGCTTGAGACTCAGATAGGATGGCACTTCTTTCGATATTAGGGATAGACGCATCCAGGACGTGAATGATATTGATTTAGGATGGGCATTCCATTCGAGTGTGGCGCAGCGATACGAGATAAAAGCCGTTCTGCGCCTGCCGACTTTGCTGGGGAAGAGGATGAATCCTAAAATTTGAAAATAATGCTTCCATTTCTCTTTTTGATGTTTTGCTGACACGGATCTTCTCACATGCGAAAGGCCCGCTAGTCTGTCGCTGTTTTCAATTCCATCAACATGTTATTCTTTTTTTGCGTCAAGGAGCGAAGCATGCGAAGCCCGTAGGACGTGACCTTACAGATGCCGGCACGAAAGTCGGCGTGCAAACTGCAACTTATCCTGTGATTGGGAAAATGTGTAGGACTCATTTAAGAATCGTGAGATGGAGAGATCAGAAGGAAGCTTGGGACGCGCTCCAGTGCTTCGTGTCCAGATGGCACCGTGGGGTCCCTTATTCTTTGCGTGGGTGGAACGCTGCTCTGGTAGCGAGCAAGGACATGGAAAGAAGGTTGGAGGAGCACAAAGAGCATGGAATAATTTGAGATTCTAAAAAAGAAAAAAGGGCGTGCAAGTTGGCATGTACATACGTACAGTATGTACGGCAAGTCTGTCTCCCTGGCCAACTTTATGTTAACAGATTTGATCTTGGCGTTGACGACTTTCACTTGGAGTCCCACTGGATGCAGGCTATGCAAAACAACTCAGCGCCGCCGCCGTGTCGACAAAACAAATATTGAGGCAACTTTTAGGGAGGAAATATACTCTTCTATGGCGCAACAAGGGCTTCTCTGAGACTACCATGCGCTTGCTACGGAGGTAATTTTACATGCGCTACGGAGGTACTGTAGTGCATCGCTGAATTCCAGAATGCCATGGAGCAGCAGTTTCCGACAGTTTGCTCCAAGTGGGACATGAGGCGTGTTTCTGACGCGAATCATGGAGAGGGCAACAAGGCAATAAATAATCTGAGGCTTATCACAAGCACGTGGTGCTAGGCTGAGAGTGGCACAGGCATGACCTGAACGTCATAAAGACGCGGCCTGACGCGGGTGACGGCGCACGCACTCTTGCGGGGAATGAAGTGAGTGGCGTCACTTGGACAGACTTCGCGCAATGCGCGAAGTGGGGTGGGCCGTGGTTGAAGGGCTGTCAGAAGCGATCTCGGGGCGCGCGCGTGCGTGCGGCAAGGTTGTGAAGTGAAACAAGGGTGGAGATGTAGAGCTCCATCCCTGAGCGAGAGCCTCTGTTTTCGGCGGTGCTACGCGAGTAGTGAGGGGTAAGGAGGGAGTGGGATTCGTCGGGACTGGGCGTAGATGTGAAATTCTTTTTATAGTGAACCGCAGCGGTCTGGAGTGTCGAAGGCTGTCTCGATCCGGGCAACCGGTGCCATCGCTCCACGTGTATGCAGGTCTCACTCGCTGTGTCCCTTGAACGCTGAGGCGTTCTGCGCGAGTCTGCAGATGGAGTGTACCCTTGGTACAGTTTATGAAGAGGATGTGTCAAACATTGACAAGAAAGGTGAGGTGAATTGTGGTACCCAACGGAACAGTATGACTGGCAAGGTTTGCGCGAAAGCTATTCGAGCAGGTTCGGCACGTTTTTGAGGGACAAAAACATGAGAAGAAAAAGCGGTGGATGCAAAGGCTCCTTGGTACTTGGTACAAGTATCGGCATCAAAGAGCGTAACATCCCCTCCGAGACACTCACCTTGACGCAGCAAATGCACTTGATTGAATTGCCAACCGTCAGCCATACGTGTAGTTGGAATTTGGCCCGTTGCTTCCGGCGGTCCCAAACAGCCGTTCAGTAGCCTCACATCCTCTCCCAGTTTCCGCACATGAGACCCCTTACCCTCGCACGCGCGTTATCCACCGTTCTTCTTCACAATTACCGTTCCGCATCAACGGCACTGTAGGAACACCAGGACCACGTACGCCTACTGTATCCTTCATACTTGCCCTCTCCAAGGATGCATCTCGTCGGCCTTCGCCAACAAGATTTTCAACTGGAGCAGCACGGTGGAAGCAAACCATGCCTCTGTCATAGCCTCCATGGCCCCGCTAGTTTCTTTTGTCGACCGTAGTCCACGCACGCCTAACATGCTCCACCGCGTCTCCTGCCTTCTCACCCTTTCGTTTCCCATAAGGCTCCGAAGCACCGTCACAAAGGTATCCACAGACTTCCGGCTCCTCACGTCTCAGGGATAGCAATACCTGTACCGTACACTTCTTGTTCTCTCTTCATCCGTCCCAGGTCCAGTCGCTCATGGCATGTGACAAGAGTGCTCTGGTGCGCTCGACTGAACGAAGTGACAGGCCAACCGCACCCAGATATGTTGACATAGAGGATTGCATAATCAGGGCGTGAATCACAGACGGTGTTCGCAACCTAAGATAAACGAAAACTATACGGGCGTGTCATTCCATGCTGCACTTGAATGTCCCGCATTCTTGCGAATGATCAAACCAGAAGCTAAAGGTAGCCAAGACCCCAACTTCACAACATCGCCGCGGCCGGAAAGACTGGCGGATCGCCTCATCTTGAATTTTATTGCACTTCTCTCTTGCCACGTTCCAGAAGCTTGTCATTAGCTCCACCGGGAAGCCAAACCGCAGGCCAAAGCCATGCTTCGATATCCAGATCCGTTTCTCAGTCCGGGTCCTGACCCAACCAAAAGACCAAGCGTGCCCACGACACAATTTTCTCGTCGACAGAAGGGATTGAATTTCGTCAATCGTCATACCTGTCGCTCTCCGGTCCCGTGCCGTACTCGGACTGTGCTCGAATCATTGCGTTTAAGTCCCCTCTGCTCGCAAGCAGCTTCAAAAACTCTGTGAAGAAAGCGTCATAGTTGTGCGTTGCCCGTATTCTCTGCACCTCTTCTCGAATCGTCTCTCCGTCGACTTCGTCCCCACCTTCTGGCTTGTCGCTATCCCTATCCGCCGCTGACTCGGCTGGCGCCACGTCTGAACCCTCCTTTTCCTCCTCAGATGATTGCTGCTGCAACTCCGGCGACGAAGAGTCACCGTCCGACCAGGTCGATTTCCGCTTGTTCGCTGCGCGCACCGTGCTGTTCTCGGGTGTATCCTCGACCACTGCAAAAAATAGAAACGGGGTGTTGTGCTCTTGAAAAGTGGTAGCTTTTCTTTTGATAAAGTCAATGCCGTGGGGCAACCAGTCGTCCTGATCGGTGCCTTCGCACACTCCTACCCTCTTGGCTTGATCCGCAACACCTTGTAGTTCGTAGACTACTTTTCCAGCTGCATCTGGAAGCAATACAGTGTACATCCAAAGCTCATCGGCAAGGATAATAGTCTGCAGGCGGTCGTCTTCGTCCAACATCTGGGGATGACCACCAGGCTGTTCGTGAGCGGCCTTGTTATGGGCATTGCGGACAACCTCCGAACTGCATATGGCCGCCGAGCGCAGGATGGGATCCATGGGCTGCATGAAAGCCCTTAGTCGAGTAAGTTCTGGGCCTAAGTTGAAGCTCTGGCTGGCACCCCTTGCGATGTTCAAAACAGACACCAGCAAGCCCTGTGTAGCGGACGCGTTATCCATAGACTGGGTGCAGAACATGATACTATTTTCCTTGTTCGGGTGGGGATCCTCCTGAGCGAAGGAATGGGACATGTTCTCGGGATTCCACTTCATGTTGTCGCCGCGATCCGGGGCCCACTTGTACAGCAACAGAAAGCTTTTGACATGCCATTCGGGCGGGAGGTCGGCGTTATATATTTGATGGACGCGCAACCCGGTAACGCCTGCGTTTCGGAGGACGCTGTTGAGGTTGTTCGCCGTGGAGCGGAGCACGAGCCAGCCTGTCTTTTCCAGGACGACCGACTCGCCCATAGCGACGCGCTCCATTTCATGGGAGAAGCCGGTGTCGGAATCGGGGCCCCGCTCGGCAGGGGGCATCGGAGTCGGAGTTGAAGACGAGGGCATGGTTGGACGCTGGCGGAGGGGCTCGCTCCTGGGGCGACGAGAAGGATCGAGGGCTTCCGGCGGCAACGCGGCAACGCAACGTGGAGAGGCGTGTCCTAGGGAGATACAGTTGGGATGTTTGGGGAGAGGGCCGGAAGATGGGTTGCATGGCGAGGCGGGCGCTCTCAAGTGAATGTACGCGGAAGTGGCATGCTAGCTGCCGGCAGCGGAAAGGGGACGGCGCGGTGACGAAAGGACGCGTGGGGAGGGTGGTGGCGATGGCGGATGGCTCCGACTTGTCATGATCCCGCCAGTGGCGTACGTCCTACGCAAACACGTGTACACGAAGACGCCTGCAGAAATTGGAATCAATTTCTGTGCAACGCTGTACACGTGTTCATGTTGTCACGACTGACAACGAACACAGGAGTACATTTGTGACAAGACCCAACCAAGCACGTTGCTTCTTGATCGCTACGACTTTTGAGCTGATATGCTTTTGCGATGATGCGCTTTGCACTCGTGCCGTACATTCCTTTACCTGTCGCCTCTCGTTTTCCCTTTAAAGTGGTTGTGCTATCACCAACAGCTGCTTGCAACACACTACAGTTCAATCGTACCGCGATTGCTTTCCAGTCCATATTTTCACTACAGTACCGTGATACTCTGTGCCTGTCAACAAGTCTTCGTCCCTCCCAGCGCTGCGTGTACCCTTGCTAGTACAGTGTTGGCACCGCTCCATCGGACGACCATCGTCCGAAGTTGCGTTTTCGAAACAGATGTTGCTTGCCTGACCGTCGCTTCAAACGTCGGCCACGTAAGCGCAGCTTCGTTTGCCAGGAGTCCCATCCGAGGATCTCGACAGAAACTTTTTTCACAATTTCATTCCATGACTCCCTCGGAACAAGTTTTCTACGCATGCTGCGTGCCAACAAATAGTTGTACCCTTGAGTACTTTACGTAAAGAGACGCTTGTTGTACTAAAAAGCAAGTATAGATTCTATACATACGTACTAGTACTGTAAAGTGTTAGGATAGTCTTGCTGCCTCGAAATTCCCTCAACAATACAGAAATGGAAAATACTTGCAGGCGAAAGAAAATTGCAGAGGACCTCTTGGCCAGGTCATTGTTGTCGTAGGAAATCCGCTCACTGTGCAGTCCTCCTACAATACATGGCGTAAAAGAGCGCTGCAAATTACGGGTGAATGACCACAGCCCCGTTTCCCTCCCACGACGTCGTCAACGTGAATCGCTGCGACAAATTTTCGCTTGCAATGACCTAGTTGTGTCTGAGCACATCGCTGCCCGGCCCGAACCACGATCCATGCAAGGCAGCTGTTTGAAAACATGGTAGAGCAGTATACGAAGGAATTGCTGGTGTCCGGCGTCTTACGGTACATGCATACTTTGACCACTTACACTTTGGTAAAGATCAGCTTCATGCAAGATAACAAAGCCTTAACGTCTTGCTCTCTGTGTGCCGCTTGTTGGGTTTCTGAGCGCCAGTCTCAACACGTTCGCACTGATTCCGTCTCTATTTAACCATGAGCCCGTTTGCGTCGACCACCTCAGCTCAAATCCCACCAACATCAAACTCCTGACTCAGCCCCGACCGACGCTACCACCACTCCCAAGCCAGTTTTTCTCGCCATGACTCGCACATTGTTCTGCTTTGCAGCTCTACTGTTCCTATCGTCCATTTCCTTCGCCCTTCCTACGGAGCATCTCCTACGGGACAGCATTCCGACCATCACATCCTTCTGTCCGGACTTATGTAGCACTGAAACCATTGCCACGCACATCTGTCGCTATTTTCCCTTGTGCACAGTGCAGCAGTGCACTCTCGCCGACGGGGCCATTGGATGGGGCTGCCCAGGCTCCCCAGAAGGCTTCGAAGGGGAATCTCAAGAAGATATGGGAAGTTTAGAAGACACGGAATCCTCGCCGCTTCCGACAGCAGAGTACATGGATATGTCGTAGACGATTCGCTGGGGGCCCCTTTTGTCATTTGCTTCTTGCTGCGACAAGACCAATTGTCTTCTTCATCATAGAAAGCAAATTGAGTTTTGGCGGGCGTGCGAGGTTGGCGTCCGTGGGTTTTCTAAATGTCTTTTTCAAAAAAAGAAATGCATCGTAGGAAGGCTACAACATGCTGTCATACTTTTCATAGTAGTCAGACAATTATTGTAGTACCCTTCTCATTGGCTTGATGTGGGACACATAAGAAGTTATGATAAAATATGCGAATGCAGTGCGTATTTGAGGAAAAATGCCTTTATTTGGAAGGGAGAATTGGTCTCCAAACTATGCCTGGGTCAAAGTGGGACGACAAGAAATCTCATGTCTTTCACGCTTCATCTGTAATGGGAGAGACCCAACAAAGACGACGCTGCCGTGTGCTTGCGGGTCCTAAACAACTCGCCTTCCTCAACCTGCATCCGCTGTTTTCGGGCTCTTGGCCATTGCGAGATTGGCAAGTCGTCACCAACTATGTCTTCGAGAGGCGACACCGCAGACTGCGCTTGCAGACGTTTTTGAGAGTCACTGTTTTCTTCGTTTGCAGTATCATTCTCTACATTATACTCCTGAATGTGATAAACGTCGGGTACGGGCGCCTTTGGAGGATTCCGCCCCTCCAAACGAGCACGAGTGGACTGCAAATTGCCAACCGTCGCTGCGTTTCTTGTTGCGAGGAATTTTCTATTAGATTTCTTAGGTGTGGGGTTCTTTGACAGGCATACATCCTTTTAGAATGTTGCGCAACACATAATCATTATTGAGAGCGACGGAAACCTCTGCTAAAGCATGAGGAGCAGAAAACTGACCGTTTGTCAGAGCATGACTATTTTTCATCAAACGAATATATTTAATTCGTTGCGAAATAGTTCAGCAAAATCATATGGCGAAACTATGCGGCGCGGCATTATAATTTTGGTGTCCCAATTTGAGCCGTGTCACACACTACGCCAATGAGAAGGGTACAAGGGTACTGTACAAAGGAGAACCTGAGGGTGCTGTATTCTCACTCGACTACAGTACTGTTTTCTTTTTCTTTTTCTAAAGATCTGCTTATGAGATTTTGTCTTTCGTGCTGGTTTAGGATGCTTTAGGACAAGGACGAGGAAACGTGAACGAGATACCAGTTCAAGGGAATGGGAAGTGCGTCAACGTCGCTCACGGTGGAGCAGAAGAGCTCTCATGGTGATTCCAATCATTGCGCAGGCTGGAGAGCGCGTCCTGCAAGACATGTTCCTACCGCCAAAAGTAATGAAGTGCGCAACTTAAAAAAGTTTCATTAAGTTGCAATCGACTGGCGGTGCAGAAGCTTACGCGGTAGATACAATTAAATTCGTACAGGCGTGTGGTCACGTCTCTCACAGCATTTGCATCCGCATACAGGGCATGCACGGATCTGACTTCAGTTCTAGTCTTCCCCAGGAATGAACACCTGTATGTGAATATCCTTCACTACTGCCTGACATGGCTCTCAACCATGAGTTGTGAAAGAGCAGCTTAGCGCAGTCCCTAACCGCTAATCGCTACAGTTGTCACAAAGGGGTCTGTGTTCTAGTCCGCAATGTCTCCCCTTCAGCTCTGGTAAATTTTTTGGGAGATTTTGCGTTTAGTGGGGCGATCGTGGTCTTTTTTGTGACAAAAAGGGGGTGAAATGGCTTTTCTTGTAGTGTTGAGGGGGTGACGCGGTCAAAATTTGCTGAGGCACCCATCCGATTGAGAAATATTTGTAGGGATCGTATGGGTGACGTCTTCAACATGGGGGTGACAGAAAAGAATTTGGTTGTTCGTGAGGGGCGACAGAATCTGAACAAAGTGGACGGTGCTATAAATTGTACTAAATGACAGGCGAAATCGGATACTAAGGCGTTACTAAAAGAGCGGCTACTGGGCTACTCTGCAGTATCCCCATACAGCTGTTTCAGAGAGCATTTCGGGCGATGCCCTCGAAACAACTGACAACCGACCGCCCCCCCCACGTTTCGGAATCCGCGGGAATGCCCGCTCGGACAACTCACTCCGCCGCGGCCATCAAGTCCCGGACCTTCCGCCGCCCCCTCTCATTGCCCTCCCTCGCCAGCCGCTCCAGCCGGCGGTACGTCGCGTCCGCATGCGCGAGCTGCACGCCCTCCAGAAACCCGTCCGCGCCGCGCTCCTCGTGCACGTTGTCGCTGCGAAACCGCGCCGCGCACCCCATCGCCGTGAGCAGCGCGCCCAGGTCCTCCTCGACTCTCCCGGCCCTCACCACGTAATCCGGCACCAGCCTCTTCTCCCTCGGCGTGCCGTTCGGCCGCCCCTCCCCGTCCACGTACGGGTACGCCTCGTACATCGCCTCGACCTACCCGTCGCCCTCGACCATCTCCTCCGCCGCGGTGCGCACCTGGCCCCCCCGCAGCGTCGCGTTCCCCCGCCCCGCCACGGCGTACTTCGCCGCCGACCACAGCCGCGCGCGCATGGGCCGGCACCCGCTCACGTACATGTGTGGCGTATTGTATCGTACATGTGTGGCGTATTGTGGAGGTTGAAACAGTCGATAAGGGGGCCACATCGGCGTGGCCGATCACGAGATTAATTGTCCCTACAGTATCCGCGTTCTAGAAATGTTGAGTTTAATAGCTCGATTACTTGCCATTTTGGATTACTACACGGGCGAAGAATCCCAATTGAGTTGTTTGGGACGGGTGACCAAAGGCGACATTTCAGTGGTCGGGTCTAACATACTACTGATATTCTTCCCTTCGCCCCCCTTATGCAACACATTCGCGTAATTCACCCCCTCAACACTACAAGAAAAGCCATTTCACCCCCTTTTTGCCACAAAAAAGACCACGATCGCCCCACTAAACGCAGCATTAACTCAAATTTTTTATGTTCAAGCGCATGTGAGGCATTGCTGGACTGTACTGATACAGCATTTACACCTCGCTCCTCGCGGTTCTCATTTACAGTACGCATGCAATTAGTTTCTGTCTGGATCAATTCCATAGCCGTGGTCCGAAAAGAATCCTCTGGCTCCTTTGAAATGAAGCCCAGTCCAGGTGTCCACCGCTTCGTACCGTCCATTCAGTACGAAGTTAAATCCAGGCTTCACAAACTGTCGTACTGAATTCGGACCCGGTCCCGAACGAATCTCTTTTCCAAACTGATCTGTATAGAAAAATCCCCCTGCGGCGCCTTCTGGGCAATGCTGTGCCCCGATATTCAGTCGTCTAAACCGAAGGGACCGGTTCAATCCCGTACTCCTGTAAAATCTGCCTCTCGTCTTCTTGCCGAGGTTGACAATGGTGTTGGGTTCCGCTAGGGACTTAAAAGCAGTGTTGGGTAGTTTCAGTACGACGTGGAAGATTGATGTTCGGCTAGACGTCTGCATGCACATGGGAAGCGTTTGCCATTCTTCGTACGCTCCAATAAGGATCTGCGAGCGAAAAAAAAACTCTGGGTTGGGACTGTTTTCGGCGATGATGTTAATACTTCGAAAGTTGTTCGGCCCACTCAGTAGTTCCTGTTCAATCACTGCTTCCGCCGGGTTAATCGCCCGGAATGTTTTTCCCCCTAGTAAACGCACACCTGCCCACCCGAAATCGCCCTTGTGCTGAATATCCATCAACAACTCTTTCGTTTTTCGGTCAACAACAGCAAAATTGATTGTATGAAAGCGCACCGAAACCCGACGCAGCGACGATTGCGCTACATGCAGGCTGTAGTAGAGTAAGTACGGGCCCGAACGTAACACGAAACCTTTGAAGCCGCGGTCGCTTTCCATTTCCCGGTTGTTCTTCCAACTCGTGTACGTGAATTTTGGGGTGTAGTTCATGAGCATCGTTGGTGACGAGCCGTGCTCGTGGTCGTATGCGCTAAAATCAAAACAGAATCATTGACCGCGACTTGTGTGTTAGATGTCTGCATGTCCGCGATTGGTGCGCCTGAAGAGGTGAAGAAAAGTCAGAAACATGAAGAACTTACCACCAGAAACAAGGATCCCATGCGGGGTGCCAGGTTCTGAACTCGACTCCTTGCGTATCCGGATCGTTCGGATTATTATCTTGTGTTGTCCACACATTGTGCAACGCATCAGGACATTTCGAATTTGCAGATATAGCAGACCCACCGAAAGCCCCAACAGGTGGACTTGCGCTACCATCTGCCTCTGCAACCCATACGTTGAAGCTTCCGGGAACAGCAAGCCCCGTAATCCTTTGCTTCACAAATCGACCTTGAGGAAAGTCTACAAAGTCCTTACTGCCAGTAGTCTTCGAGAAGACGTACGCATATTTTGTCATCGGCCTAGTCAGAGTATCGTGAATTCCGTAAGTGATGGTGTTCGCTCCCTGGATTCGCTCGGCCCAGCCTTCGGAGGTCCACCCGCCACGAAGCATTGCAACAATAGAGGGGTCGAACTTGTCCGACTCGACGTCGACAAAGATGTATGCAATTGCTCCGCGCTGGAAAGTCATGCGGAAGGATGGAGAGCGAACGAGACCGGTTGTGTGAAACAGATCGAGACCCCTGAACTTGTTCGATGCTGGGTCGCTGACAGGTGCGTACACGTGCCCACTGTAACGAGCAATGTAGGCCAACTGCTCAGAATTCGGGGATGAGACATCGTAATCCCAAGAAGAAATGAGAACAGAGTTAAGAGCGTTGCTGTAGGCAGGGTGGTCTTTGCAACGTAAAGCATCATCGGATTGCTGAGCGTCGGCGATGGCAAACAGCAACCCGAGTAAAACTGCGATGAATGTGACTAGTGGCTGCTGCTGCATCGTAGGAAGGAAATGACTGCGAAAGACAGTTGAAGCAATTGAAATTCTGATCAGTCTCAATGCACATGTGCCTACGCTTCTCGATGTTGCCACCGAAAAGGTCTGTGCTGCTGTTGGAATATCGCTATTTATACAGTATTTGAGGTGACTGCCCTGCGAACTTTTGGAGTGGTGATGAGCATATCTCTCAATCAGACGTTTGCTGATACTGATGCTGCTCCATATACGCCGTCCA